ATTGGTTGTTGCTCTAGCTTATTTTTTTTGCTGTAGAGTTTTTGCTTTATGTTTTATGGCTGTGGATATTGTTGCTTTAGGATATTGATTGCAGGATTTTAGTAAAAAAGGAAATAGGTAAATATGGAAAATAATAATAAGAAAAACAAGTAAAGAAAAAAATAATATATTTGGAAAGAATGAAAGAGAGAGAAAAAATAAATTCAGAGCCTTTAAAATTATGCTCTAGACATTTTGCTCTGCAAAACTAAAAAAGGAAGAAAAAATGAAAGAAATGAAAAAAGGCTGTAGGTTTTAAAGAAAAAGTATAGAGCATGATTAGTGATCTATTTGGCTTTAGAATTTATTTTTGCTCTCTACAGCTTCTACAGCCACAACCAATCACCCTCTTACTCTGCATGCAGAATAAAGTAAATATCTCCTGCAAAAATTCAGATCTACTTTTTTGCATGATTGGTGAGTCAATGCAGACTGATCTGACTTTTTTTTAATCTGCTTTTGATCTGTATTAGTTCGATGTCTCCATTCATAGCCAATATAAGGGGTTTGTAAGTTTTATTTCAATGGAGACTTTTATTCTTATTCCTTAAAAACAAATATTTTTGCATTATAGTCCTTAATAGTAACTATAATCAATTATTATAATAAAAATTTCACAAAAATAATAAAAAACACTTTAATAAAATATTATACAATATTATTAATTAGAACATCTTATTATATAAAGCTGGATGCGCACGACGTGGTTACGACACATAGGATTTTTATAAAATATAGGATTGCGACATGTGTTACTTTTAATGTTATATTCGTTAAGATCGGGACACATGTCTTCGGTAAAAGGAAATTTTTATTTTAAAGGGTAAATTTTAATATCTTATAATAAAAACGAAATTTTATATGATAAAATAAAAATAATGTAATTAAAAATTCCTATTAGTGTATGGAATAGGTATGTAAACTAAATATCCTAAAATTGTATGGAATAGGTTATATAAACTCCTATTTAAAGAAATTCTATTAGTACATGTAATAGGTATGTAAACTAAATATCCTAAAACTGTATGAAATTGGTTACATGAACCCCTATAAAAAAGAAGAAATAATTAAAAAATGTTACATCCAATAAGAAAAGGAATAAAAAACACATTCCCATTACGAAAATGAAAAAAAAAAACAATATATAACAAGCTATATTTTTTAAGTTTCTTTCTCATTAAGAAATAAAATTCATGTCTTTAAAAGTTAAAGATATCAATGAAGAATACTTAACTTTAGATCGATACATGTGTCTAATATTTGATGAAGTGATGACATGTTCAACACAAGAAAATTGGAAAAATGTAGTAACATAAATAAATAAACTAACAAAATAATATTAAAACAACTAACTAATAATGAAAATGAAAATTTATAATGGTCAGAGGCAAAAACAAAATCGAAAAAGAAACAATATAAATAGAAAACTAACAAAATAACTATTAAGGAACTAAATAAGATTAAAAAAGAAAATTTTATAATGGACTGATCTTCTAATATTATATAGTTTAATTTTCCATGTTTTGATAGCTAAAACAATATTAATCATCATGGAATAATCAAAGTTTCATAAAATAATGAGTCGATTAGATTTAGACACATGTAAATCTTTCTATTTCATATCATGAATTCAAAATAAAAATGTAAAAGATTACATATATTTATTTAGAGATTTGTTATCGGGTTTTTAATATTATTTTCTTATTTTTAAAATTGATCAAATTTTGTTTAATATTCTTCCGTGATTTTAAAAATAAAAATAAATAAACCCGCGTATACGCGGGGCCTAATCTAGTTACATAATAATAGAACATTACATTAAAACATAAATTTACATATATAAAAAAATAAACTAAATTTACATTATTGTTTCCATAATTTTTCCATATGTGATCAGTCAATGCATTTCAAAGAGACAAATGATATTCTTTATCTTTTATTTCTTATTAAAGAGAGTAGATGTATAAAAAATTATAGTTTTATAGACTAAACTGATCATAAAAAGTGTTATAAATATTATTTGTAAGATTGTATAATTACAAGGACTAAAATGCAAATTCGGATTATTTTTAAAGGGGTGAACAGTGACCCCTTATATTTAAGGATGTACTATTCATCTCTTTAAAATATAAGGGGATAAGGATCCACTGGAATGCAAAAACCCTTAAATTATAAAGGAATAAAGGTCCATTAGAGATGCTCTTAAAAAGCTACTATACATTTTTAAAAAGAATAATAATCATATCTAAGGTGGTTTTCTTTGCACCGTCGAATGTCATTTTTAATTGTTATTTTTAGTAAATTAGACGGTTCCTAAGAATTTCAGAAATTTGATTAATTAATTTACTTTTGTTGTATTTTGGAGTTTATCAAATCCATGTCGCAAGAGAGAGAGAAACAATTTTCGTCGGCTATAGAGAAGATTTCGGCAGATATTTGGCCGACTTTGGGATATTTGGTCTATTAAAATTTGGTGGACACTTGTTTTTGGACAATTACACACTTACATCGTCTAGGACAACACGTATCTCGAATATCCACAAAGCAATGACATGAACATGTACCTACGTCGTCCATCTACCACGTACACCAACATATTTTTCTCCTTAACCTTTTAGAAACTTTCTCACGGTATTAATAAGCCACGATCTATCTTGTTTTCTCTAAATAGTAAATCCTAATAAATTGGTTCTCCCACAACCGAATATTTCAGGGTTTGGCACTTACATAGAGTACGTACTGGATATTAGTTTTTTTGCATTTTTTGTTAAAAATTAGTTTTTTGCATTCTTTTTCAAAATGATCTATCAAGATATTCTGAGTTACTTGATCCAACTTATAAATTTAATGTGGAATAACTCATATCACTCTAATTTATGATACAAGATATTATCTTTTAACGTACCAAGTTACAAGGGATTTTAACTCAAAACCAATTGACCATGAATGAATAGAGTGATCCATGTCATTAATATATTATTTGAGATTTTTTTTTTAAACTTTAAATATGCAATATTATTCTCTAATAATGAATTTCTATGGTATTAGATTATTAGTTTAAATGATTTTATATGGTAAATTGTCCGTAAAATATATATAATTGTCGTATTACTTTCTACAGATCTAATTATCAGAAGTACAAACGTAGTTCTACTATGGCGGTTATGTTTTCAGTTGAAGATAATCTCATCCTCTGGTTGAAAATGAACAAATATTATTGTCTTTGCTGCAAACATTGAAAGCTGAAACAAAAAATCATAAAAAGTCACAACATGACCTCATATTTTGGAACCAATATTTATTTTCAAAAGATAAATATGGAGAGTGCATAACCTTATCGTACCCTACAGTATATGTTTGAACTTTGTATCACACATTTTTACCCTGATGTGTGTATTTTTTATTTTATTTTGTCAACCACCATATATTCAATTTGATCAGATAAAAACATTAAGTCTGCTCTTTGTGCACAAAACAAAAATAAGTGAGAGGGTTTAGGGAAGGCGCCCACAGAATCTGGCGCTCAGCTAATTATAAGCACATGTGAAAGGTTCAATAAGATTGTATTTCTTCGCAATAGTTGTTTTGGTGTGCCTATCGTAAAACATTTTTTTTTTTTTATTTAATCGTTTTGATATAATTTTGTTTTTTGTTCTTATTCGGTAATTGTACTCCTCGTCAAGAAGGTTCAATTAAAATACGTGACATATTTTTCTTCAACCGCTACGGAAGTTGACCGTAAGTTTTTAATATTTGATAGGAGAGAGAGCTTATATTTTAAACGCATTTTCTAGGCTTATAACTAGCTGTTTATCTGTTGTTTTAGTGCACAATATATAATTAGTTAATTACCCGTTGTTTATTTGCTACTTGCAACTTTCTACATATTTTGCTTGTAAGACATACCTACCCATAATATCTTTTAGCCATTGCTTACTCCTCCAACTAATTTATAATATTATTTTTCTATCATTTAATTTACGTACGATTAACCACTTGACAACAATGTTAAAGAATCCATGCCGAAATTAACACGGTATATTAATATTTCATTTGGTTGTATATATAATTTAGGTTTTCTATGTTGAGCTAGTAACTATGGTTTACGCTGTCTTCCTATTAAAGAAGAAAAATCATGCATTTATATAATTAAGGAACGGTGTATCTTTTTGGGTGTAGATCTGATTTTCTGATCCAGACCATTATAAAGCGTGATTATTAAAATATAACGCAGTATTACGTTTCCATAGTACGTACTATGCTTTATTGCTTTGCACTCGCCACTCGATATGTAATACTTATAATAAACCCCCAAAAAGAGTATTTGCACTCGATATGTATAACGTTTAGTATAGATGATGTTTATATCAAAAGTGTTTGAGAAATTTTATGAAATACACCTTTTAAGGTGCAAATTTTCAAAACTACACCTATAGTGTGAAAATTTTCAAAAATACACCTTTCCCCAATTTTAATATATATGTTTGGGTTCACTATTCCTAGATTAGGGTTTAGATTTTGGGATTTAAGGTTTAGATTTAAGGATTCAATGTTAGATTTTAGGGTTTTGAATTTATATTTTAGGGTTTATAGTTCTTTTACTCAATGAAAAAAGTGTAGTTTTGAAAATTGGCACAATAGAGATGTATTTTTGAAAATTGACACCTCAAGAGGGTATAGTTTTGAAATTTCCCAAAGTGTTTCGTAAATGTTTGCGCGCTGTTTTCAATATTCGAATACTTTTCTAAACACAAAATGATAAAAACGATCACGATGACCGTTGGATTGCATTAGTAAGCATCTGTGCTTAATTGAGGCACAACACGAGCCACACGATGACATCGACGGCCCAGAATGCTTAGAGTTCTTTTTTTTTATTATTATTAAAAACCCCTCGAATTTGAAATTTGAAATCCCTAAAAAAGCATTTTCGAAAACCAAAAACCCAAAAATCAAAAATCATGGCGGCAACCAGCGAAGAGCAGATGAGTTTGCTTCTCTCTAGTTTCGATCAGATCTACGAGGTGATTTTTCGCCATCCTCGATTCCGATCTCTTCTTCTTCTTCGCTTGCTGCTCTCCTCTTTTGTTTGTCGATAGAGGAGGAAGATGAAATTAGTCTCTGACGAAATACGACTGAATTCGATTACGTTTATCTTCATCTGGAATCAAAATCGATTCTATTTCTTTCTTTGTTTAACCAATTGAAGAAGAAATCTGGTAACTGCGATTTACTCTTGTTGTATTTTTGTTCACGGAAGAGTCAAATCACTGATACTTTCACAAATTTCCTGATAGATTTTTGGTTACCGGAGCTTCAGATCCATACAGATTTTCAAATTGATTGCTCATAGTCTCTCTTACGCTACTTACTGCTAATCCGAAGGATTATAGTGTAGGAATAATCCAACATACATTGCAATTGCTCGTTTCGTTTCGTTGAGTGTAACTTTTAACGAGAAGGTTTCTCAGGATTTTAAATGCGGGATGAATGAGATCAATGCTTTCAGATCGAAGAGCAACTTTGAAACTAGCAGAAGAGAGGCTCTTGAGATTAGCAATAAGACTCTCAAAGAAGGTTTTGGTTGATTTTGTTTCGCTTGCATACTATTACATTGCTAGTGCTCTCTGAGGTATCTAATTTGAATGAGGAATCTGCAGAGAATGAGAGGCTGAAGAAACTATACACGGAATCATTGAACAGTTTTGTCGATCAGGTCTTTTCCTTTAGAATCCTGACTTTGTTTAGTTTCTCTTTTATGTGAACAAAACCAATAGAAGAGAAAATCGACTTACGAAGGCTTCTCTGTTTCTTGTGTTGGAGATATACAGCTTGAGCATCGAACTAAGTGCCACGGCTTGAAAGAAGAAGTGAAGCGAGTGAACGATGAAAACAGAAGCAAAGAACATGTGAGATTTTAGTGATTTCTGAAACTGAAGATGATTCTTGGATTGTACATAGCTATAAATTTGTATTGAATCATAGACATATAAGCATAGCTGACATATTTGCAAGCTGTGGCAGGAACATAGAAACGCTTTGGAATCTCTTAGGCAGATGCATGTAACAAAGGTTGAAGAGCTAGAGAACAAAATCAGGTGAAAAAAGCACATTCACAACTATTATTCTGTATCTGATCTTTTCACTAACTTTTACAACTTTTATGTACAGAAGCCTTTTGGTTGAGAAAGCAACAAACGAAATGGTAGTGGATAGGCTTCGGCAAGAGTTGTCAGCTAACAAATCCCACATTCAAGCAATGTCAAAGAAGCTGGATCGAGTTTATTCTGAAGTGGAATCCAAGTGTAAGACTCGACACCTGATCTCCAAATTTGCTTGAGTTTTGTGTTATCATTACGGCTTACATATATGGCTTCATAATGTAATTTATTCTGTAGATGTAATCGAGATTCGGGATCTGAAGGACTGCCTTCAAATGGAACAAGAAGAGAAAAATGATATCAGTAACAAACTTCAGAGCCTGCAGAAGGAATGTAAGAGTTTCAGATAGTGATTTATTAGCAAGGCTATCAGATTATTGCAAAACTAATTTCAGGTCTCTTTTTTTTTTTTTTTTTTTTTTTCATTCTTTGCAGTGGTTATCAGTAGAACAACAGTAGCCGAGAAGCAGAGAGATACAACTTCAAATCGACAGATGGAGACTTTGAAGCAGAAGCTTATGAAAATGAGGAAAGAGAATGAGATCCTTAAACGGAAACTATCTTCTTCATAGAACAGTCAGGCTATGTCCCTCAACGAGTAAGTTCCATGAATACCAAACCATTTATTTTCGTAATTGATACAGTTTTTGAAACATACACCAAATCCAAAAATAACAAAAGAAATTACATTGTCCACTCAACACTCGAATCAAATTTTAGAAAAAACAAAAACATGAAACCGGAAAAAAGCACACTTTCCGCTTGATTGAGAAAAACAAATGAAAGAAAAAACAAACAAAAGAGTGGAAAGAATAAACAGTAAAGAAAGTGTAGATCAACGTCTGTTGAAGGCTCTGCAGTTTCTTCTGACCTCTCCAGAACGTCCGGTAAGAACATTAAGGCTACCCATTTTCACCATTGCTGTGACAAATCTCTGTCTAAAGAGATCATTGTTCGATGCGAAACTGGACACAATTCCACCGGTTGTTCCAGAGGTACCCAAGTTCTGATCAATTCTTAGGATTCCTCTCTGTCTTCTGATCTCACCGAAAATTGCGTTATCCACGAGGAATGAAGTCCTTTGGTCCAAGAACGCCGTTGGGTCATTTGGAGCACGGCATGTGTTCCTCAACCTTAAGAGAGATGTTTTAGTAAGTCAGATATACATAAGCTGATGTTCGTTTGATTAAGATGGATAATTTCAAAGTATATGATGATGCTATGTATCAAAATACGTACTGAGAATTCAATGTGCGGTCCATTGCTGGGTCATTAATTCTGTCCTGGAAGAGACTGCAATGCGCAACACCGACACTGTGGCCACCACCGATAAGCGCAACCATGTCGTTCACATCCATCCCTTGAGCTTGAAATAATCCGAGCGATGCTTCCGCGGAAATTGTTGGTCCAGGCAAGTTCACATCGTCGCGGTTTGACCTTAATCCATCACGTCTCCCCGTACGTACTAAGAAGCTTGGACCACCAGCTAATGCGATGGCGTCTCTGGTGGCTAGAGTTACAATGTCTGCGCATGAGACAACTCCGGGACACACAGCCTCGAGCTGTCTCTTAGCCTCATCAATGATCTCGTAGCCTCTTACGCTTGCATTTGGTCCGGCTCTTTTCTCTGATGTTGTTCCGTCGATCAAGAGGGAAGCATCACAACCCTATACAGAGCCATTCAAAACATTGCTTGGTTAATGTTACGTCTAGAGATAGTAGTGAGTGTGAGTCCATAATATAAAAATACACACACACACACACATAAGGAAAAGCTTACGAACCGTGACAAAGCAATCATGAAACTGCATACGAAGCAATGCTGCAGTAATGGAACGGTCACGGCTGAAACTGCTGGAAACGACACCAGAAATGATAGATCCTGCACGGTGGCATGACTGGCCGTAGAACCCAAACTGGAGTTGCGCCAGAGCAGAGGGAGCAAGGAAACAGAAAAGGAAAAACAAAGCTGTGATTGACCTCATTTTGTATGATGAGATCTTTCCTTGCCTCTCCTTTGAATGTCACTTCTATGTTTTGATGATGAACTTCTAAGCGCCCGTAGGATGGCATATTTATATGCAACTTCGGGGAAAGACATTAGTACGGAGAATGTTTCTTATTTGGTAGACGTGCGTATGGTAAAGTTTGATACATTGACAATTGACTGGTAAAAAAAATGAATAATATTATGTAGTTGTGCTTTAATAATGTTTATTAACAATGTTATAGATCGTCCTGTACACGTTTAAAGATAGATTATGCCCAACTTGGGGATATATTTTGAACAGTCTGCGTTTAACATTCGGTTGATTGCGAAAGAGTATGCTGTATGCACCATTTCTATCTTGAGAAGTGGATTTTATTTAATGCTGACTCATTAAGATAGGCAATTATTTTGAGACATACAGTACATTTTTGATCCGTTTCGTAGATTTTCCCTTCAAATAAAACAAAGTTGTAAAATAGAAAAAAAAAGTCCTCAAGTGTTGGTACTTGCTGTACAAGAAACCTAAAATAAGAGAGAAAATAAATTCGGACTAAACAAAAGCAACATGTAGTAAACAACCAAGTTAAACATGTAAAAATCAATCAGAGGAATTACTCGATGGTATTTGAGAATTGATTACGTAGGGCTGCTACACACGGTAATGATTGTTTATACTAAGATGGCTTTCACTAATTGAACGTTTTATTGATCGAAAGAGGAAATTAAAACTTTGTTCGCTCAATTTAAATCTCTCTCACGAATCATGGTAATTCAAGGATCTTGGTAACTGACCGACTGTTAACCGTATACTGCTGATGTGTTTATGGATATAGAGCCTCACTTTCTTACCTAATGTGTCTAAAGTTTCTTAGGATTTTCATGTTTCAGTATTACGTGTAGGCAACACATTACATATCCAAAAATGAACCGGTGAAGGCAAACAAAGCCAATGGAGATTAATATATCATCCACTAGTATTATCACATCAGATGAGAGGCTTCCCACTGTTGGATTGGATGATGCTCAAATTCCGATATATACCAAGCGTAAAAGTTGAGCTGGCTTACATCTAGCTGTCGTTTGTGGTGTGATATGGAAGATACACCTATTTTAGTTAAATATATATGACTTTGTTGACAATCTTCCTTCAATCTGACCAATTCAAATTTACCTAAAGCATCCAGCCTCCACTCGGTAACACCCATCTGTTCTCCTATAGAGCCTCCCAACTTTACACTCGGTCGAGACAGTCCACCCAAAATTCTGACTGAGTTAAACCTTGTTTCGTCAACAAATATAAAGATTTCGACCAAATTGGTTTCGGATTCAACCTGGTTCAAATGAATTTATATATAAGTGTAAACTTTAAGTTAGCGTAATCTCTTTTGGGTTTATACTCATAAAGCGAGTAAGCGAAGCTCAGTTTCTTTACTTATTTGTTTTAAGTTTAGCAATTAGAAAAAAGGAAAAAATAAAACCTTTTCTGGCTTTCTCGATCTCATATTTCAATGTGTAATTGTGCTGGTACCATCTAAAGATTCGATATCCACTGTTACAGTCCAATTGTACTCATTCGGAATTTAAATAAAAATTGACCAGAATATGTAGCCTATTTGTTTGTACTAGTGTCACTACTCCACTATTCATGTTCAAACTCACACTTCAGGTACAAATCCGTATTAATACATGTTTTTTTTTTCTTTGTTGGTAGAAAGGTCCGTATACTACATACTTATGATTAAAAATAATCTTAATGAGAAATTCAATTATGAAAAACAAGAAACAAATAGTTAAACCATATAAAAATGCACACCATAGAATAACAAGAGAAGAAAAAAAAAGTACCAAAAGAAATTACAAATACAACTTACATATCAATTGTAAGGAAAGAATAAATTTTGATACCGGAAAAAAGTTCGGGTTGACTCGAAAGCGTGAAAAAAAGGGAAAAACAAACAAAGACTTAAAATGAATATCGGTAATTAAACATTGTAGAATCAACGTCCGTTGTTGAAGACTCTGCAGTTTCTCCTGATCTCTCCAGAACGTCCGGTAAGAACTTTAATGGTACCCATTTTCACCATTGCTTGTGCAAATCTCTGTCTAAAGAGTGTATTGCTCGATGCAAAATTCGAGACAATTCCACTAGTAGACCTATGGAGACCCATGTTTTGATCAATTCGTAGGATTCCTCTCTGTCTTCGGATCTCTCCGTAGATTGCGTTGTCCACGATAAACGGAGTCCTTTGGTCCAAGAACACTGATGGGTCATTTGGAGCACGACATGTGTTCCTCAACCTTTAAGAGATACATTAGTGCGTCAGATATATATATAAAAAATATATATTTTAAACACAACAGGTACGTAGCCTAGTACTTGACTTGTATATGCTAAATACGTACCTAGCATTCAGTGTGCGGTCCATAGCAGGGTCAGCAAGTCTATCTTGGAAGAGACTACAATGAGCAACACCAACGCTGTGGCCACCACCAATAAGTGTGACCATGTCGTTCGTGGTCATACCTTGAGCTGCAAACAATCGGATGGATGCGTCCACGGGAATTGTTGGTCCGGGCAAGTTCACATCATTAGGGCTTGACCTTAATCCATCACGTCTTCCTGTTGGCACTGAGAACCTTGGTCCACCGGCTAATGCGACTGAGTCTCTAGTGGCTAGAGTAACAATGTCTGAGCATGAGACAGTTCGGGGACATGCAGCCTCGAGCTGTCTCTTAGCCTCATCAATGATCTCGTATCCTCTAACGCTTGCATTTGGTCCGGTGCTTTTCTCTGATGGCCTTCCTGGTCTTGGGTCGATCAAGAGGGAAGCATCACAACCCTACACAACCATTCAAAACGTTTCTTAGATCAATGTTTCGTTTAGATATATTAGTGACTCCATGATATATATACACACACACACACACATAAGGAGAAGCGCACTGACCCTGACAAAGCAATCATGAAACTGCATACGAAGAAATGCTGCAGTAATGGAACGGTCACGGCGGAAACGGTTGGCAACAACATTAGCAACGATGGATTCAGCTCGGGGGCATGATCGGCCGTAGAAACCAAACCGGAGTTGCGCCAAAGCAGAGGGTACAAGGAAACAGAAAAGGAAAAACAAAGCTGTGATTGACCTCATTTTGTATGGTGAGATCTTCCTTGCTTCTCCTTCGAATTTTGTACTTCTTAGTTTTAGTGATGAAGTTCTAAGTTCCCGTAAAATGCATATTTATATGTAAATTTGGGGACAAGACATTGTCAAAGTGAATGAATGTTCGTTATTGGTAGACGTGCGTATGGTAAAGGTGGGTGGATGCATTGACAATTGGCTGGTTTGAAGGAATATAAAAGATGTAAATATATAGTTGTGTTTTAATAATGTTTCATTGGAAAAATGTCAGAGCTCGTCCTCCACACGTCTAAGATTCATTATCCCAACTTGGAATACATTTGGAACAATTTGCGTTCAACATTTTGTCCATTCCAAAAGGGAATACAATTTCTATGTTGAGAACTGGATTTTGACAATTTGTTTAGCGCTGACTCATTAAAATATGCAATTGTTTGTGTCATCCGGTTTTGGATCCGTTAGACCGTTTTCATTTCTTATTTCACCCATACCAATTAAAATCAGCAAAATAGAGATGGGTCTTTAGAATGTGCGGAAACCCTAAAACTTACAAACTTTAAGAAACATTATGCTGCTGTAAACTATGCTGTAGACAGTGTTATAAATGTATAACTCGGTTCATTTTTTTGTGTGATCTTTTTGCATTAAGCTTATGCTTACTAGTTACACTACTGCATCAATGTACATTAAGAACAAAACTATCATATGTAGCGTACGTTACTACTAGGTTCTTCTGATCATGCTTAGCCTCACTCCTACACTTTTCTGCCTTCATGGCTCAGTTCATGATGACTAACGTATGATGAATTTAAGATTGTGCACGTCAGTCACCGATCCCGTTGGTTATGTTTAATTTGCAAAACAAGTTATTCCAAAGAAAAAATGTGCTTCTCTCGCAAGCTACTAGCCTATAGCTAGCCAAAATTAAGAAAAAGCTCCAAACTTAAACTGAAAGTCATTCTGCTTTAATTTCTGAACAATAATCTTACAAACAATCCAATACAAAAATCAAAACGAAGATGATACAAAAAACGTGCAAACATACACCGTTTTCTGTTTAAAATTATAATACTGTCGTTCTCAACTATAGGGATAGATTTCTCATTCAAAGTTCAAACATACAGCCAATGCAATATATTTCTCGTTCTGAATTATACGTTTACAGAGACAACCGTCCAATTGTGCTCATTTGGAGTCTAAATAAATATTGACCAAAATATGTAGCCTATCGGTTTGTACTTATGTCACTACTTCACTGTTTATGTTCAAACTTCAAACTCACACTTCAAGTTCAAATCCGTATAGTACATGTTTCTTTGTTTTTTTTTTGTTGAAAGGTCCGTATAATACATGTTTTAAATAAAAATAATAACTAAAAATATGTGATAGTGACAAATTAAATCATGAAAATGCACACCATAGAATAACAAAATAAATCACATGCAAAAAAGTAACAAAAGAAATTAAAAATGCAACTTACATATTCGTTTTAAGGAAAGAATAAAATTTGATACCGGAAAAACAAACAAAAAGTAAAACAAACAACGGTAAGTTTATTGGGCATTGTAGAATCAACGTCCGTTGTTGAAGGCTCTGCAGTTTCTCCTGATCTCTCCAGAACGTCCCGTAAGAACTTTTATTTTACCCATTTTCACCATCGCTTGGGCAAATCTCGCTCTAAAGTTTCTATTGCTCAATGCAAAGTTAGTCACAATTCCACGGGTTGACCTATGGAGACCCAAGTTTTGATCAATTCTTAGGATTCCTCTCTGCCTCCTGATCTCACCGAAAATTGCGTTATCCACGATAAAAGGAGTCCTTTGGTCCAAGAACACTGATGGGTCATTTGGAGCACGGCATGTGTTCCTCAACCTTTAAGAGATATATTAGTGGGTCAGATATATATTTAAACATAACATATAGTCTAGTGGTTTACGTTAGCATCACGTATAGTGCATGTTGTTGACATAATGACATGAAAAAAGAAAATAAGAATTCAGATGAAGTTAGTATTTGATATATGCTAAATATGTACCTAGCTTTTAGTGTGCGGTCCATAGCAGGGTCATTAAGTCTATCTTGGAAGAGACTACAATGAGCAACACCAACGCTGTGGCCACCACCAATAAGTGTAACCATGTCGTTCGTGGTCATACCTTGACCTGCAAACAATCTGATGGATGCATCCACGGGAATGGTTGGTCCGGGCAAGTTCACATCATTAGGGTTTGACCTTAATCCGTCACGTCTTCCTGTTGGTACTGAGAACCTTGGACCACCAGCTAATGCGACTGAGTCTCTAGTGGCTAGGGTTACAATGTCTGAGCATGAGACAGTTCTGGGACACGCAATCTCGAGCTGTCTCTTAGCCTCATCAATGATCTCGTATCCTCTAACGCTTGCATTTGGTCCGGTGCTTTTCTCTGATGGCCTTCCGGGTCTTGGGTCGATCAAGAGGGAAGCATCACAACCCTGATAAACCATTCAAAACGTTGCTTGGATCAGTGTTACGTCTAGTTATGTTGGTGACTGGCTACATAATATAAATAAACACACACAGATAAAGAGAAGCTTACGAACCCTGACAAAGCAATCATGAAACTGCATACGAAGCAATGCTGCAGTAATGGAACGGTCAAGGATGAAACGGCTGGCAACAACACTATTAACGATAGCTTCAGCTTTGGGGCATGTTCGGCCGTAGAACCCGAATCGGAGTTGCGCCAAAGCAGAGGGAGCAAGGAAACAAAAAAGGAAAAACAAAGCTGTGATTGACCTCATCTCGTATGATGAGAATATGAGATCTTCCTTGCTTCTCCTTTCACTGCTACTTTTAAGTTTGGTGATGATATTGAAGTGCCTGTATAATGCATATTTATATGTAAGTTTTGAGGACAAGACATTGTCAAGGAGAATGTTTTGTTATTGGTAGACGTGCGTATGGTAAAGTTGGATACATTGCCGATTGACTGGTTTCAAGGAAAATACATGATGTATTATTATTGTGTTTTAACAATGTTTCATTAAAATAATACTAGAGTTCGTCCTCCACACGTCCAAGATTCATTATTGCAACTTGGAATATATTGTGAACATATTATTCTGATAAAGTATTTTGAAAAATTTGCGTTCAACATTTTAGTCCATTCCGAAAGGGAATACCCATTCTTATGCTAATTCAAAATATAATCTCTCAAACAATCCCATACAAACTCAAAACGAACAGGACTAAAAAAAAACATGAAACTGTTCTTATTTGGTAGTGACCAAAACTGTCGTGTAAAACACAATGAGATTTGGAAAAAACAAAAGAAACATGCACCTAGATTTACATTACACATTCAACTTACATTGGCTCTCTAGCACTTGTTCTTTCCCTCTCTATTATAAAAGAGCCTTTCTCTAATACTCCGTAAATGAATTAAACACTTATAAATAACACAACAGAACAAAAGATTCAAAGATTATAACTGCTGTATCCACCAATATCAGAAGCTGGTCTATATTCACTTCCATAAGTTTGTCCATTTAGCGACGGCGTGTAGGTGGAAGGACCCGCCAGCTGAGAGTATGCTGTTGGTCTGTACTGCACCGTCTCAGCGCCCATGTAGCTGCTCGAGAGCGGCTCTTGACGGTTGCTCAGCTGAGGAGGATATGCAGGTACATAGCCCGTGTCGATTCTACCATATCCTCCTGAAGCCGAAACTGGTTCCTTGTGATTGCTGATGAACTCCTACACGCAGGTAAACAAACAAATGAGTTTTTATGGTGAGGACCGAAGCAGATGGAAGCATGTGAAGGAAATGTAATCTTAGCATTTTGACAAATGACATTTCGTAAAAGGTGTGTATACATAGATGGAATGTGTTCTTACTTGTATTAGTTGCTGAGCCATTTGTACTTGAGAAGAAGTGCCTTTGATTTCCACTGTAATTTCATCAGGATGTGGACTCTCTTGAATGGTAATGGTGGCTCCGCTTGTTCGACGGATGTAGGCTATATTAGTTCCTTCTACACCGATAATATCCTCCGCGTAGGAGAACGGTATTTGCATCGTTTGAGATACCTAGCAAGAGAAGAGAACCCATCCATATAAAAGTCTTTATTAGTTCTGAGACATAAACTTAGATGCGATAAACATTTTGAGGAGATGATGCTACGTCTAAGGAAATCTACCTGTGTAACAAAAGCAGCAGAAACACGACCGAGACCTGGGGAGTGTCTGGAGGACAGTACAGGATCCTGACTGTACATAGAAGCTCCTGAAGGCTGGAGACGCGGATCCATCCGAGAATCGCGCTCCATAAACAGAGGTTCTCTCCGTGCTAAGAGGGAGAAATCGGACTCGAGTAGATTTGACGAAAGCGTATGGAGAGATGACTTGTTGTCTGATAACGGCTCTTCCTGACGAGCTTGAGTGGCTCTAGCTAGATACTAAAAGATTAAAAAAATTTAACAAAAGTTAGATAATTCAAAAAAGAGAGAGAAACGCAAGGAAGTAGTTGCTATAGACAATGGAAGCTTACTTGCTTCTCGAAGAGAGGAACCACGGTATGGTCGACTAGAAATTTCCTTAGGTGTCCAACGATGGCTTCTAACGCTTTTATGATCTTTAAAGCTTCCCCTTGCAAATCCACTATTCTCTCGTCTTGCGCAGCATAAAATGGTGTTTCCTCTGTGAGCAAAAAGTACAGTTTACGTGTTACTATCCATTAGGCTCACATGAACTATATAGCATACAGTATTCAGAATAGGAAACTGGCAACAGAGCAAAGAATTAAGTACAGATGATAATACCTTCTGATAATATACGAACTGATGCACCAGAGCTCTCAACTATAGATTTGATCAAGGATCCTTGTTTTCCAATCAAATTTATCGCCTGCGTAGATGCGACTAATAAACGCACTGAAGAGAAGGCGCTTCCAGCGTTTTGAACATCATCGTCATCATTATCAGGCAATCCTGAAACTCGTCTGAACACCCTTAAGACTGCGTCCATTGCAGGAGACATGTAAGCCTCTGGTTCTTCCTTCCCAGATATTAGCACCTAAATTGAAGAGCAAGAAATCACTAAAGCGAACACTTCAAACTACAATTGAATCAAGAAAGTAATCAAATTGCAAGCTTGTTCCTCCAACTTCACCATAAAATCGGAATATTCAGCTCAAATTATACCACTTTCCCGGAAAAATCATCCCAGGAATCTTACTACCAATGCTTAGGAAACCCTAATCATATCCAATTATGTAACCGGAGTTACAACCTAGAAAAAAAATTCCCAATTTCGGATAGCTTTGAACAGAGTAAAGCACGTAGAAGGAGGCAAATACAATAGAAGAAACAGAGACAGGAGGGAGAGAGAGATACTAACGACGCGATCAGTAGTCGTAGTGGGACCATCGAGGACTTTGATGCGAGCGCGAGTCTCCTCACACATCTTTTTGACGAAATCTCCCTTCCTTCCGATAATAGCTCCGACTTTAGTCACCGGAACGATCATACGAAACACGCAATCTCCAGGCCATCCTGGCCACCTCTCCGCCGCGGAGTCGCTCGGGTCGGGGGCGGTCTCAGCAGCTAAGCTGTCCGGCTGATTCAATTCAGGGAAGGAGCCAGAGTGTTCGTCTAGCAATGCGATGACACTGGTTCCAGACAGCATAAGATTTTCATTCTCAGGGATGGTTGTGGTACCGTTCTCCACGGAATCTGCGACGGCGGCCATTAGAACCGGCAACAGAAAGATAGCGAGGGAGAGAGAGAGAGAGAGAGAGAGAGCGAGAAACGATTTAACCTCTCGTTATAGGAATCGTCGCTGTACGCCATACGTTGTCGTTTCAAGTTCAGGGTTTTGGGCCTTTAGCTAATTATGCATTTAAGGCCCGTAATGATACGCAAGTTCATTTTTTATTTAATAGCCCATGATGAACTATATAACTCTCTATAACATAATTATGGATTTAAGGACCACATATACAAGCAAAAATATTATTTTTTATCAAAATATATTCTTGAATCTTCTTATAGTAATACGTGGTATAAACTTTTATAAGTCACGTTATTTAACATCCAAAATATCTGTAGTAAGAAAATTACAGTCTCATGTCTTCTTCTTTTTTTAATAAAGTTACAGTATATATCATCGTCTAACCTCGATAATTGCTTTATTAAATAGAAGAAAAAAACTAAAACTTTTAAAGTACGTGAATAACATAGTTTATGAACTGTATCGTAATTTACGAGTGTGAATATATGAACTGTATTATTCATTTTAGGGCCGTAACTTATATGTTTTGTATATTTTGGAAGATTTAGGTAATATATCTTGTCGTCGTATGCAATATGCGATGAGGAAGAAAGGGACGTGACGTAGAAAATATCTGCTGGCCCAGAAGATATATACTTTATCTCTCTGCGAGAGTCCCTTTTGTATTTTATGTTTTTAAACTATTCTAATCAAAAAAAAATTAGACCTTTGTATTACTAGTCATACATGTTTTTTTTTGGATCAGAATAACCGGTTGTATTACTAGTATATGTTAAAAATTCTTTTAAATAGTATTTTTTTCATTGTTTTCATATGTTTCTTGCATCTTTCCAAAGAACTAATAAATAATCCCCACTTTCTAAAATTTGAATGCATAATTATTTTGGGGCTTCCTTTTTAATTCTTAGAAAGCAAAAACCAAATATTCTCCATTTCGTAAACTCACAAGTTTTATAAATCAAGGCGTTATCTCTCTTAAAAGCAAGTGCACCGGACATACTATAAATAGTCTCTACAAAAACTTATTTTTATTTAAGAAAAAACAAAAAAGAAAAAAAAAAGAGTTGGCCAATAATATTTTGACATCTGTCCAGCTTGCTTCAGAAACGGCTCCAAAGTACCTTCCCATAGAGACGTCTCTCAACATTAATCTTGCCAAATAGATAATTATTTAATTTTTTCTTTATTTTTTATGTTGTAGAGACTCACATGATATGTCCGGTGCACTTGCTCTAAGCTCACCAGTTTCTTATAATGCATATCTCTCTTCTTAACATATGTGTTCTCCTTGATTAAGGCGTTACTTAAGTACGTGCTCTTTTTGTATTTGTTCTTTCTTTCTTTTTTGCCTTTTTTTTCCTTTTTTTGGGATACCATAACCATACCCATATGGGTTAGAACGTTTATCCTAAGAATGGAAAGCAAAGTGAAAGAGCAATGTTGCATACTCCCCCCATGCCGAATCAAAAGTCGGAATTTACGGCAAAGCACATATATACACATGTATATATGTGTGTATCTGTTTACGCGCGCTAATGGTCCCCTCCATACACATACATATGTACGAGTAGAGTTCACTTGTAGTTTGTAACCATTTGAGTCAATCTTGTACAGTGCCCTAATTGACTCCGAAGGGTCACATGCTTAAGAAGTTAATATCATACGTTTATACATGTAACACACTAAACTTTCCAGTTACATGTAAATTTTTGGTAATTTTTTTTTTGTTTAAACTAACATATATATTAGCACATTTAAAAATCTCCAACTGATTCTATAACAGCAACAACAAAATCTCTGATTGATTCATATCCAATCTGTCTTTCAAGCACCTACGAAAGGTCACATCTACCGTCAAATGAGAATAAAACCCAACAAACATTGTTTTTTATCCAAAGGTAAACACAGAATACAGATGATGTGAGTGCTCATCAAACATTGATAGCTTAACGAAACAATTAATAGAGGATAGGTTGAAAAGTCAACACACGTATACTTCTGGCTACTCTTTCGAAAACCTTTTTTTGTTTTTAGATTTAATACAGTATATATTATTGTACGTAATCATATGCCTATGTTTAAAAAGAAAAGAAACGAAAGGAGGAGAGGTCACATGTTGTCGTAAAGTGTAATAACATAAGAAGATACCAAAAAAGAACTGGGATGGACACTGGAGACAGTGGGCAGAGTTGGCAGACATGTTTATCCTCTCTTTACCTTCTATGATAGATCTCATCTTTCCTCATTTCTAAGTTCTCCTCCTGTATAATAGTTTGAAATAATTGAAAATGTGATGCAAAAGTATAGAGTAAGTCTGAAAATGTTAATTTATGAAATACTGTAACTTACTTTTTTGAAAAAATAATATAAGCCTTTTTCTGTTACTAGTGAATAGTGATTGAAAGGTTTATAAGAGTATTTTATCTTTTTGTTGGAATTGATGGCTAAAAGCTACTCCCTCTGTTTCAAATTAGTTGTCGTTTTGGCAAAATGTATCTGCAAATATTTGGACGTATCTGCAATGCAAAACATGTCCAGATACGTCCAAATATTTGCAGATACATTTTGCCAAAACAACAACTAATTTGAAACAGATGGAGTATGTAGAACTGGGATAATTCATTTACTGGCGCATGCTTTATGTTTAACCTATGTCGTTGTGCATCCATAAAATTAGCTACATTACATCGTTTCACTTTTACATAACTTACAATCAAGTCCATAAATAATGGCTGAGAGACGTATTGGTTTGAACACTGTTATATGTTCAGCTGTCACAAAACTCCAGAATATGCAACTCTTTGAAATAATCCGACGATTTGGATGATAAGTACTATATCACGACTAGAAACACCAATTTTATTTTATTTTATTGCGAAATAAAAGTACCACATTCAAAACTAGTCTCAAATTTTACAAACCTGAATTTTCTTGTCAATTGGAAAAACTATAATTGCCAATATAATATTCAAAATTTTGAAACGAAAACAAAACTGAGTATATAACAATGGAATATAATCTAGTATACAAAGACAAAACCAAGTATTTGATCAACGAATATTATATAGTGGATATAATCCTTAGATACGTGAGAATGACTGTTCAATTGTAGTAACTATTCTGAACTCATAGATTACACATGTAATCAAAAACAAATCTATGAAAATGTGAGAAAATCTAATAGTCCCACTGAATGTAATGAGGCAAACGTATGATTGCCATCTGCCACACATAGTACTTCCCGTTCCGGAAGACACCAAATGGGTCTAACTCCAACTAATCTCTCTCTCTCTCTCTCTCTCTCTCTCTCTCTCTCTCTCTCTCTCTCTCTCTCTCTCTCTCTCACATTTTCATTTTTAGTTAGTTTTTAATATGAACATAAATGTTTTCTTTTTTAAAACACGAATTTCTCAAAGCTTTTAGATCAATACTATAGGCACATATAACTCCTGTTTTAGAGGTCGAGACTTGAGGGTTCCAGTCCACTACTTGGGTTCTTAGGAATGTCTGACTTGAACTAACAATTTAACAAATATTTCAAAGCTATGCCTTCTCTTTTTGCATACATTTAATTATTGATGTTTCTTGGAAAAGAGTTTCAACTGGGGTGACTAATTTGCGAAAATTGGTATAAACTCTTTTTTGGTAACTTAGTTTGATTAGGCTTCATTAGTAATTAATGAACTTATGTTACTGTTTGGAACAGGTGAATAGGTTTCCTAGTGTAAAAGAAAAACACCACGTCATCACTGAAATCTAACACATGCAATGAGATCAAGCCACGTACACAGATAAGGTGACCATTTAGGTTTAATTACATACAAAGCCGAAATGTTTTCACAGGTGGGTGGTTATTATGTTTTCAAATTTTGGATATATTCCCTAACGGCAAAACCTTCATCGTTTGACTGATGCTGATTTCACCTTTACCTTTCACTCTCTGTTTACGCTGCAACTAAAGTGATGATTTTTCACAAACCTCAAAAATAATTATCACAGCTAGCCTCAACTTTTACTTACTACAGTCTATTACTAGTATATAACTTTGACAAACCCTAACGGATATTTTCTCTTTTCTTATTATCCATCTCGTGAGTCGTGACTCTCCCAATCCAATCGGCGCCTGCCTCTGTCTCTTTGGGGAAGTCTTACTTCCATGACCTCTCTCTCTGTCTCTCTCCAATCTCGAATGTTCATTGGGTTTCTCTCTAGGGACTAAACGAACATCCGTGCCTTTTCTTTCCTTTCTAGTATACAAAATCTTTCTTTTTTCCCCTTAAAGTTTTGACCTTTATTGCTATATTTAGTAAACAAAGATTTTGTCAGAGGTTTAGGGTTTATCATCATCCTATACGAGGAAATCCAAAACAAATCCAATTTCATTTCCCAAAACCCTATAAGTCAGCTTAAAAAAGGGAATTTTCAATCATCTCTTACACCAACAGTAAAGTTCGTACTAATCTCAGAACTTTTAAAAAAAAATTGCTTTTTTTTATTACCTCTTCAAATCCATCAGTCCTCTGTTTCTCGATTTTCCCGGAAAATTCGAAGCTTTTGTTCCTATCGGCAGAGAAATGTCGTCATCTTGTCTAAGTGGCGGCGCCGCTTATAGCTTCGAGTTGGAAACGATGAAATCGCCGCCGTCGAGAGCCGCATCGCACAACACTCCCTCGCCGTCATCTACAGTCTCCGAGTCCCACTCTCCTCCGCTAGCAATCGCCACCAGAAAGCCACGCACTCGACGGAAACGGCCGAACCAGACTTACGACGAAGCGGAGGCTCTTCTCTCCACCGCCTACCCAAACATCTTCTCTTCCAGGAACAAAACTCCGTCGAATCCTCTGTTTCTCGGGAGTAAATCTCCTCTCAGCGATTACGACGAAGCTTCCGAGCTGCTTCTTTCGTTTGAATCAACCGAGTTTCTCTTCAATCCTATGATACAAACGAAACAAGAACAGTCCTTCGAGCGTAAGGAGGTCAATACCGGAGCTGAAACTGACGACTCGGACGTGACTCGGTTTGGAATATTCGACGATTTCGACGCGGAGTCGATTCTGGATGAGGAGATTGAAGAAGGAATCGATAGTATTATGGGGAACATCGAATCCAGCGACGGAGTGAATCACGGAGAATCTGGATTTTCAGGAAGAAATCATCAGAGAGCAGAGGAAGTGATGATGAATCCTTGGTACGGATTCGGATTCGCCGGAAAGTTTAAGTCAGGGCTCGGATTGAAGAATTCTCTGCGGGACGACGATGACGTGGACTGGTGCAGATTTCCCACCGTGGAATTTGAACAGATCTCGCCGAGAATTGAGGCCGTTGCAACCGCCGCTGCTGATGTCAGCCAACAATCCGAGGTCGTGGATAGTAGCAAAAAGAAGAAGAAGAAGAAAAAGAAAGTGGCTTCGCCGGCTCCGTCTTCACCGGCGGCGGAGTTGAAGAGTTCCGAGAACTCGGGTGCGAAGTTGGAGCAGAGAGTAAGTCTGTCGTTGAACCTCGACTACAATGGGGTTTTAGAGGCTTGGTCAGATAAGGCGTCGCCGTTCTCCGACGAGATTATGGGTTTAGAAGCTGCCGGCATCGACGTCCATGTACGTTATTTCTCTTTCCCGCCGCCGAAGTAATCCACATTTCAATTTTTTTTGGGTTAATTATAAAAAATAATTTTAGTAAAATAGTTTTTGGAGTAATAAAGTTTATAATTTACTTAAATCCTCTTAAAGTTCGCCACGTAACTCAGATTTGCAGCTGAATAGAATGTTGTCTTAAAACATTTGTTTTATGTTTTTTATAACCAATTGCTAGAAACACAAATCATTACAGTATTAATTTCTGAGTATCTGAATCTGACAAGAATTGGAAATGGTTCCATAAGAGGAGTATTTAATCATTACAGTATTTAATTGTTATCTTTCTGTTCTGTTATGAAATTTTCAAATAATTTTCTATTGGTTCATTAATTTTGTTTTAGAACGAGTGAGCTTTTAAAATCTTTATACCAAGAAATAAATGTTTCTCTATCTACAGAAATTGATGAGAAATTCATTTAACCGCACTGAAAAAATTATTTAAGAAAACTTGCATATTAAAAAAACTGAAGAAGATAATTTTTATTTCTAGTTAAACTTGCATATTACAAGTTGTGAAACTTTTGTCTTTTCTTTCTGCACTTCAAAAGTCATCAATCTAATGAGCGAGGTTAGTGAAGGATAATTGATGATGTTTTAGCAACAAATGCGAACTAACTAATGTGTGATTGTTATGGGGACAGGCGAGGCTGGGTGAGATAGATTTGTTTGGAGAAAACGGAATGAGAGAAGCAAGCGTGTTAAGGTATAAAGAGAAACGGAAGAATCGTCTCTTCTCTAACTCCAAAAGAATTCGATATCAAGTTCGCAAACTCAACGCTGATCAACGACCCCGAATGAAGGTATATATAATACACATACAATAACCATTCTCTTCTTGAAATTTATAAGTAAAAGTTTTCTTATAGTATATGATAACGTAGGGTAGAATGAAACTAATGTATTAACATATGAGTTAAGCAGCGAATGTTACGACGAAGATTCTAATAATAAATTATGCTGGTTTTCTCATCGACAGGGACGATTTGTGAGAAGGACCAACGTAAGGAACTTAAGTGGGCTACGATTATAAGAAGAAGAGTCGAAAGAGCTTATGATGACCTCTGTATTCTCTTCTTTTTATCTAGCTAATCATGGAGATTTTTGTTTTTGTTACCGACCCCTCTATTTTTTTGTACAAGGGAATATGGGGAAGAAATTAGTTGATTCGAGAAAGTAGGGGAATCAGAGATTCAGAGAGAATCAAACTTTTTTTGCCTTTTGCTAGAAACGTGATATGAGACTATATTTGTAAGAGAATTAACGTCGAGGATGTGATGATTTATAGTGAAAAAAATGCCTTATATTGCAAATGATTTTTGAATAGGAGCCGAACATCGTTAATACATAGCAATTTAAATATTATTTCAAGTTCTTTTCTTTATATACGAACATTACAATCAAAATATTACATATAATAATATTTATTTATAGCAACAAGAAAACTTTCTTTGTAATTCCTTTAGCATGAAAGACATACAAATTTCACTGCATGCTCTCAATTGAAAGCCGAGCAAAACCGTCGAATCTCTCCTTGGGAACCAGTCTTCACGTCAATCTTCCCCATCTTCACTATTGCCTTTACGAAATCGGATTCAAACGATGGGCCAAAGAATGGATTCAGGAACCCGGTATAGGAATTAACGACCTGACGGGTCGTTACATCCTCGTAGAGACCTGCGTCGGTCTGAAGCACGGCGAAACCATCCTTTATATTCTGCAGAATCTGCTTGTCGAATAGCCGTCCACTGAACCGGTCCATTGGTATCCGGGTGTTTACGTCACCGTTTCGTGGGCACCGAGTGGTTAATTCCTGTAAGAATACCGGACTGATGGTCGGGTCGGGTTGGCCACCAGGTAAGAAATCGTAGAGGCGTTTGGTCATGAAGAAGCAAGCCGTTGTTCCGATAGTGTGAGCAGCTGGTACATTAGAGAATAATTATTATGACCAAATGAAAGTAGATTACTCAAATGTGGAACAGAGACTATATCAATGTTCAAATTTGTTTGATATTTTAATTTTCTTAAAACTAAAATAACCTAGAAATGTTTTAGATATTTTGATTTCATAATATATATTTTTTTATCAAAGTTTTAAATAAATGACAAACTGAGCCGGATCAGGTTTGAAACGCATGGTCACTGGTGATCTTTTAGCTACGGTATTATACTCGTGCATGTTGATGATATTTAATAGTTTCTTCCTTTTTTGGCTACACGTGCAAGTTGATAAACGGAATGAATTTTTGTCAAATTTAACTGACGATCGTATTAACAGGCCGATTTTCGTGACTCATAACATTTCTAGGCCATGCCAGATTAAGTGGGTAAGATGACAGAAAATCAAAACACTTGTTGCTAAAATAACACTCATTTTAGTAGTAAACATAACATACAAAATGGGGCTTATATTGTTTGGTTGAGATAACTTTTACCCAATTTTACTAGCAAACGACTTTTCATTTAATTTTTCTTCTAGCAAAGTGTAGGAGGTAATATGGGATTTATGTTGTTTGGTTGAGAGAATTTTCTCACAAACTTATCTGAGCACGAAAATTTTCGGAGTCACGTGAAATCAACACAAGGAAATGAAGAAAAGTACAAAACATGCTAAAACGCATCACGGATTAAGGAAATGAGAATCATATAACTTGGACTTCGTACCAAAAAATTCGAGAGATTCGAAACCACCAAACAAACATGAATGAGAGAGAAATAAAGAAGAAGAAGAAGAAGAGATACATACCACTGAGAAGAACGAGTTCTTTGGCCTCGAGTCCCTTTTGCATAAACTTAGCCTTTAGTATCTCAATCGAGTCACTCACCTCCGGCATGTCCTTAGCCAGCGACATGTTTGAAACCCGACCATCTCTCCGCCCGGTTGGCACATCATACGCCGGTCCATTCGCCTGTATGATGAGTTGATCACAACGGAGAAGAAAAAAAGGAGAAAGATCAAAATGTTTTTTCCTTCTCGAATATTTTTACCAAACGTATTGCATCACGTGCAGCCAAGGCAACAATGTCAGAGCACGAGACAACACCAGGGCATACAGCTTCAAGCTCGGCTTTGGCAGCTTCTACTGTCTCAAATCCTCCAACGCCTTCATGCCCGAATGCATTCTTTTCAGAGATTGCTCCGTTGTTCACGAGGATCGAGCCGTCACATCCCTGAACGTGTGTGTGGTTAAGTCTTCTGAAAATAGCAGAGCAATAAGCGAAAGCACGAAGAGAATGAAAGTGTATTTTGTACCTCGACAAAGCAGTCGTGGAAATGGAGACGGAGAAGAATGGCAGGGAGGTTAGGGTTGGAAAGAGCAGCTCCGGAGACGACTCTATTAACTATTGACTCCGCTTGAGGACACGTATTGGAGTAGAACCCAACACTGAGATCAGCAAGAGACGCACCAAGGAAAACCATGACTAGAGACAAAGCTAGACTCACATTAGCCTTTGTCCACGCCATTTGTCCTTTTAGTAAATTCAACTAGACAGAAAACTGGGAATACAAAGGGAGAGAGAGAGAGAGAGAGAGAGAGAGAGAGAGAGGGAGAGATTTGCAGAGAAAGCCTCTTCATTGAGGCAGATATAAAGAAAGGCATGTGTTTAACCCTACTTGCATGTAAAATTGTCATCTAGCAAAAACACTCAATAATAACGAAACAGAGTAGCATGAACAAGTACCAATGCCCCGGATATACTGGTGCTATATATACAGAGAAAAGTCATCGTGTATTACACAAATAGCAACAGAGTTCGTGATGGAAAAAGAGAATATAAAATAAAACCAAATCAAACCACACCAAGCAAAAGCAAAAGATCTGTCGTTTTGTGCTACTAACTCACATAGCTTGAAGCAATTCAGGGTTCAAGAACACAGTTTTCCAGCTTTGGAAAGGAGACACCCAGTTGCATTCCGACAGTTACTAATGTCTCCAAGGACCTACCGCTGTTAGCTAAGAGATCTTCGTCAATCTTAATCGAGTCCTGCAATACGGGTCACGTGAAATGTAAGGTTGATGCAGATGCGTGCACTCACCAGGGAAGGTTTTATGAAAATGTAATGATATATTGTCACAAGGTTTTCAAATTAAGAATCTTGATTTCTAGTGTAGTGAAGGCTGTGAAGCATTAAGTAAAGTGATATTATAGAGGTAAGAGTTTTAAGATTCATCTTTTATATTTAGCATACAGAAGAATAACAAAGTAAGAAGCCGACCTTTTCAAAGACGCAAATAACTGTGCTTCCACCAAATGAAAAGTAACCAAGCTGGAAAAAGGAGAATCTTAGATTAGTCATCACTTGATAAGAAACTATTACCTATTTTTCATTTAAGTAAAAAGGTTCAGAATTGCTTACCTCGTCCCCTTTCTTCACGTGGTCTCCCTCTTTTCTAACAAAGGTGATGCTACCAACCATTGTTGCTCCAATCGCAACAAATGCGACCTGTTACAGAAAATAAACTGAGTTCAAATATCGTAATAAGATCAGATTTCATTATTCAGCTTCGTTAATAAATTACAGCATTATTGAGTTCATAGCAACCACAGACAGAAAAAGATAGTGTATGATTTATATGAGATAACAAACCTTTCCAAAGTCTTTTGTTGATATAATTACTACGGTCCGTTTATTCTCAGTGAAGACATTACAGTACTTGCTATTGACTGCAATCGGATTAACCTGAGAAGCAACGTAGATTAATAAGGAAACAAAAGTAACTCCAATAAGAAAATAACGAAGAGAAGCCTTAAACTCTTCAACTTAAAAAGGTAGAAGGATCTGTACATACTGTATACAAGCTGCCAGGAACATCGACAAACTTTTCAATGACGCCAGAGACAGGAGAATGAAAACGATGATAGTCCTGTAACAGATCAACAAATGCATAAAGAGAGGGAACAAAAACGACTGTGATTTTTTAGCTTTTGGTCTAAAGAAATCAAGTATGCAGTGTTGTCACACCTGTGGAGCCAATCGGAAAATCACCAAAGATCCATCAAGGAAAGCATCTGAATGCACATCCTTCCCAAGGAGGCCTTGAATTGAGAACTTCCGACCCTACCAATATTGAGAACGGTTGAAAATTTTAGAATAACGAGCAACATTTAGGCAATGTTGCAAGTTATCAGCTCCATCACCTCTCTTAAGAGTTATTCAATTTTGTAGATACCGAGCTTGCAGAATTACTATATTCTAGCTACTCTAGAGGCCGGTTTACCTTGATCCAAAACCGTGTGCTATCATCCACTGATTGAAACGCCATTAATCGACAATCAGCAGCAGATACAGCAACATCATCTCGATCCATGCACGCAATTGGTCTTGCACCAGGCTTTAACTCCCGTATGAAGAATTCATTGAACGTCTGCAAGTGAAAAGACTATCATTCAGATCCATGACACGTACAAAAGCTTACAGTTAACCAAATTACCAAGGTTTTTTTTCCCGTCCTCGATAAAGCCTTTAAATAATTTTGCTTACATTTATCCCATTATCACTTGCATGGTTATTTTATAACCAGCCACAAATTCATATGTTTTTTAAATCGGAAGTCATACCGCGAATTGTCTTTGGTTAGATCTCAAGGCCGAGAACTAGCAACATTTTTTATTATAATATCGTGGTTAGAATCATACCATGAGTTGCCTTTGCATACCTTAAAATGGTCCAAAGGATACTTGACTTCGGCCATGTTTATTTGATCCTACAATAGACAAATGATTAAATTTAAGGCGTTCATGTAAATTTTAGGTGTTACTAGACTCCAAGCCACAAGTCAAGCGGTGTCAGGCTTAAACTCATCAGCCGTTTCACACATAATAACTTAACAAAAAGAGGGTTTCAATTTCATACCTTGAAAAACTCGAGAAAGCTGGGTATATTTTGGGCAGATTCAACTGTGTTCATTTTCTTCCCCTGCTTCTCAGAAAGATTCTGCAAAATCTCTTTTGCTCCTGTATCAAGGAGATCAATCCAAATGAAGACTTGTTTGCTTTGATACAATGGCAATAATGTGTCGCTTGTGGGCACATAGTAAGCGTCAAACAACAACAATATTTATCACAAAGGTACTATGGTCGGGAGCATTTTAGAGGTGAAGGACCCAGTTTGTTACCTTGGTCCATAAGCCGGAGTCCAATTTTTGACTGGTAAATAGCTCTCATCGACATAACAATCTTTGAATCAATCAACTCTTCAACAAGCCTCTTAGTCTTCCGATCAATCACCTAAAGCAAATATTAAGTAAAAGTAAGTATAATTTTAGCGCTTATCTCACCATTAGGAAATACTAAAACGCAAACCACAAAATTTGATAGGAGGGAAGCAAACAACATCAGGCTTCCCTCATGCCAGGATTTTAAGAATACACAAAATCAGGCAACTTCGTAGTTGATCTCCATATAAGTTGTTTATCATGACACAAACAAAAGAGGTAGAAAGGAAAGATACCACGATATGTGAAGCACTTGAACCAGTATTCAAACCAACATCATAAGTTGATAGATGAGTCCATTCACTTAGTTTGAACATCCACCTGACGAAACGTTAAGAAAATGAATGCTGATCAAGCCAAGAATTTATATATGGTTTAAATTGGCTGACTACAAGTAAAAACTAACGTAATTGAGAATACTAACCCATATGAAGCCTGCCTATCAGTCAAGAACCCTCCGGTCATCTTTTGATTACCAGTTCCTTCTTCAAAACAGAGAGTCATATGGATCATTGAGTTGAGCTTGTCAGAAAGTTGAAGAGCCTCCCCGCAGACCGGACAACTATTTATAATTGGCTCCCTGAAATTGATGCATGCGATTTACTGGGGTTCAAGGATGTACAAAAAGTATGTATAAACAGAAGTTCTTAACATAGGCAATGTATAGAATGTTATTACTGTTCCTGTTGAACGGCAAGAAGTGCAGCCAACTCATCAATCGTAACAACACCATCTCCATTAAGGTCAGCAGCTTTAAACAACTCTTCTTTCTGGTAAAACAACACCAAGAATGCTGTTAGAAAATGCTGAGGAATACAAGTTTTGTTACTGAATTACACACTTGGAAACAAACACATATGCATAAGCACGCACAACAGATAGAGGTGACAAAGCTTCTGAAGGTCAAACCTTGTTAGCAGCCACTAGATTCCCAAAAGCATTCATCAGATCAGAAAACTCTGAGAATGAGAGATGTCCATCTTCATCATAGTCCTGCGTTTAGATGAAGAACTCCATCAATCAATTATAAAGGATAATATACAATACCATAATAGACGAAGTGGAAGATTAAATAAAGCATACCACTATAGACAAAATACGCTTTGCGAAACATGTCTCGGTTTCAACAGGATCCTGCAAATGTTAGCAACCAGAAATTAGAGACCACTTTCGAACCACTGATTTAACTTTTAATATACTACATACCTCAACGGAGCATGAAACGAACATGCTGCCAACAACATTAGACGAGGCCGGATCTAACAGGTCAAATGATTTGCAAGTAGAGTCAGGTTCCTATATCACATTCGTATACAAGAGAAATGTCAACAAACAGTTTTTTTCTCATCAATTTATCACTCAAGGCATTGCCAAATCTAATCCATGCACCGAAAACTGAAAAGAAACAGGTGGAAGAACCTAAACAGCTTTCATATGAAAAGCAAACTTTAACTCCTGACCTGCACTACAAATTCAAGTAGATCAAGCTCACAATAACCGATGATATTGTTCTTCAAGAGTCTATTGGTCTGCATCAAGAAAAGGAAGCCATCAAAACCGATCAATACTTTAATAAGAAAATGCAACTAAGTGCCAAAACTACAAAGAAGAAATTCAGCTGACTATGCTCAGACCTCAAAAACAGAGATCCTAGCCAGACTTGGTCCATTTTTCTCCAGAAGAAGCTTCTTTTCCTATATACAGAACAAACACAACCGATAATACGCAATTTTCCAAAATGGCAAAAAAAAAAAAAAAAAAAAAAAAAACAGAAACCGCTAGTTTTCTTACTGAATTCCAAATCGGCTTATCGGTGCTGCAAAATCATCAAAAACAAGACGGTGTTGACGTTCTTAGAAGTATAAGATTTGTAGAAAGTTCGAATGAATGCGAATAAGTGTCGGCGACTTACGAATCTGAAATTTCTGAACGGAATGTCTGTTCCCCGAAGGACACACAGGCGAGCCACTTGTCCTTGAACTTCATCTCCGCCTAAGAGAAGACGCCAGAAGAAGACACATGACTATCGTATGGAATTACAGCTGACGAGGACTCGAAAAAAAAAAAGGAAAAAGTAAACCGTACGCCGATGAGCTTGAGAAGAGCAATGCCGGCGAAATCCTCCGCGCTCACGGATTTCTGAGTGACCAATCCGGAGACGCTACCGGATCCTGGGCGACGAAGACTGCGGCGGCTGCCAAGGTTTTGAAGCTTCTGTCGCATTTTTGATCGGCGCGACTCTTTCGTC